GCCGGCTTGGTTGGATCCGGGATGAAAAGTCCAAGGAACAAATTCATTGTATTCTGTTTTTCAGCATCGGAAAATGTGTTGGAATAATATCGGCTTAGTGTCTGCATTATATCATTCCCGTGAGACGACCATGGAGCAGTTTTCCTATACGTTTTTATTCTGAAAATTAAAACTTAATATGAATTAATGGATTATTGTTAAGGAACTTTATAATAGCTCTGAAAATGTTATATATTTTATTGACAGTATAACAACTCCCATGAATATAATAAATATATTTAAACTTGTATAATTAGTTTTATTTAGTAAGTTTTGATGTTATGAATGGACATTACCAATTTTAATAGATATAATAGTTTATTTTTTGATACTGAATTTTATAAAATCGTAAAAAGAGCAATAACATTTATGTATCAAAATTTAATTACTAAAAATTTGTTATAAAGTTTTACCCAAATATTCTACTAATATTTTTACGTTTCCAAATTAGTAATAGCACTCAAAATTGCAACTGGTAAAGACAAAGACCTTTATCAACATAAAACAGACATTAGACCTATATATAGTTACAATATTATATGTTTGCTATACATACCTATGAACTAACTGAGAGCCTCCGTACTGCAGCGCGAGCGTGTCTCCATGGTCTTCATATAAACCTTCCAGAAGTCTCACGCAATCTGAATCAAATTCTATAACTGGCTCACCGATAAGGCCTAGAGCGTAAAGCTGAAAATAAATAAAATTTTCTTTATGAACACCATTTAATTAATTTTTTATCAATAATTCTATCATTAGGGTTAAATACACAGTTATTGGCTTATGTTATGCGACGTTATATTGCAAAAAAATTACGTTTTTTTTGGAATGTGGAACGGTAACTAACCTGATGAGCTAGTACGCATTTTCCGATAGCAAACTGCGCAGTATTCGTCCTGTCTAAACAATCGACACAGTTGACTCGCACAACGCCAGTCTGCAAGCGGCCGGCCTGGTGACCCGGCACACCGCTCTCGTCGTCGTAGCCCTTACAGCTCATGAATATACCCGTGCGACGGACTACTGTGCGGGCTATTGCGGATAACCTTGCAAATATTATAACTATGTTTAAATTACTATTGACACTGTTCTAAAAGTGTGCACCAAAAAATAGAAAACAGAATCAAGCCTGGGAATAGACCACAAATTACTTGGATATGGAAAATGGATGTTCACTAAATTTGCTCCAATGTTTTTAATTTTTCAATTAATTTATTTTGTTATGTGTATGTTGTCTCAGTTTATATTGTCATAATGATTTGGACAGTATTTGTCTCACCGCCAAAAATGGAATGATTAAAAAAAAATATTCAAAATTAAACTTACTTATCTAAAACTTTGGCATCTGCTCCTTTGTTCATTCTCGCCATATCTAAATGGAAATACTGTATGGCGTGTTCCGGTGGTAAAAATTGGTTTAAATATTTCACAGCATTACTTATCACATCGGTTAAAAGAGATTCGTGTTTCTTCTTCTCTCTCTTCTTGACTAGATTTAATATCATGATCGGTGAACCATATCTCCTCATGAGATTATTAAAATGTTTTGCTGGTATTTCTGCATAAGGATCACTAAGGTCTATAGATATGGCTGGCTTGGGTACCATCTTCGATATATCCTGTGACCAATAACTGGGTATTGAACCCCTCATTTGCACAAATGAACTGAACCTGAAAATTTTATATTTTAAATGAAATGATGATGCTTTTTCATGTTGTATTTTTTAAATTAGATACATATATGATTTTCTCACCTGCCAGCAGCAAATGAAGATATCATTGAATCATGAACAATCTGTTCAGTTTCCACTTCATTAGCAACATCACCATGTAGGTTGGCTCCTCTTTTTAAAAATCTAGTTCCAGCATATCTGTTACTTCTTCGAGCTATAAGTGTAAGGTAAATTGGTCTACCAAATATATTTAAGTTGCTTTGTTCTATAAAACCATGGACTATATATAATATCCAATCTGGATGTAGGTATGAATGTACAGCTGACAGCAAATGGCTGTTCCAAACAAATCTCCACTCAGGTACTGTTCTGATGCCAAACTCAAGTCTTTGACTTTGTCCCCTTAAAAATAAAATGTAATTTCAAATTTTACTTGCTCAACTATGTCAAGGTGACTTTTGTTTGCAACTTCGTGACTCTCCTATTTCCTCATGTAGCGTGAAATCGTTCAATTGAAATGTAGACTTAATTGTACGTAACTATCTGACTCATACCGATGTTTCTAGATTATTTCTTAGATAAATATACTCCCTATGTCTTAATAAATCTTACTAATATTACAAAGGCAAATATCTAGGTGGATAGCCACGGGCGACAGCTAGTACTACATAATACACAAAAAATTACCCAGTTTTTTCCTGTCTTTGTTGCAACTGTTGTTTCCATGTTTCAAATATATCTTCATCGTCATCTTCATTATCCTTACAAATGCATTTATTGTCTTCACTGTTTTCTGAATTCAAATTAGAATGATACACAGCTGCGGTTATCGGTTTGGGAAATAACGCAGGAGCTAATTTCCTTGGTGGTGCCATGTTCATTTGCAATGTATGTGTGATATCATAGCTGTAGCTATAATAGAAATTAGTTGATAAATCTATTGCTAAGAACATTTTGAGATATCTCTGCTCATCGGGATGTGGGGGCTTACTGTTGTCACTTGGTATATAGATTGTGGCCGTATCTTCTATTTTGTATATGGAATGTGGACCAATCACAGCTATCTTTCTTCTCTTTGTTACCAATATAATGTAGTATCCTTCCAAAAATCTTATGAAGCCTGAAATGTTTAAGTAGCATTAAATGTAAACGATTACTAGAAAAATTATTAAAATGCAATGCAACAGCAATGTTTCATTTATAAATTTATTAAAAAGGTTATGAACCTTTAAATAAAGATACAGAAATTCCTACATTCTTGATGTAATTATTATTTATCAAATTATTTTCCTTATTTGACCCAACAATTATTGTCAAAATCTTGTCATGTTTATGTTATAATTAGTACTTACCAACAATTCCAAATGCAGAAACAAGTTTATTAAAGCCCGGTGATCTATTACCCCTGTTACCAAAGCCAATCATGTTTAATAATTGGTGTATTTCTTGCTTGTTGTACTCCACTTTATCATCAACCAATATCAATTCTCTAGGGTCAGTTCTATCAATTTTAAGTACACGAAATCTGGTTTGAGTGTTGTTTGAACCAATAAGATAAAACCTCTGTAACAAAAGTCAATTATTATAAAAATTCAAGAAAGTACCACTGTTTTCTGTAATCACAAAACATTTACCGCTTTAGTTTCATATAAGGCTATCCGTTGAATAGAACTGATAATTGGGTGGAATATAATATTTCGCTTCGACATTTTTATGTCTTTTTGTTATGATACTAATGGAATTTAAAACTGTTTAATTAATTATAGGTAACGCTAATTTTACAGGACTGATTTGTTTTTCTTTGTAGAACATTAACTAAAAACAGATTACAAATACAAATATCGTCAATGTTTTGTCACTGTCACAATTATACGGAAAAATGACATTGATATTGTCATGTCATTGACACTTACTTTCTTTGCTGTTGCCATATTTTTTTTTACTTACCTACCTTTTTAAGAGGTACATTGGGTAGCTTTCAATTTTTCCGTTAAAAAAACGATATAATATACGTATTACAGCTATTGCGCCAAATTACACTTTATTTTATAAAACCTTCCGTCGAAACATATTATGTACATACTAGTGATTAATAGTTGAGAACGGAAACAATAAATAAACGCTTGCTTTTTACTCCTCGATAGATGGAGCCTTATTACAAACGAAAGAAAATTTATACGTTTTATAATAAAACACAAACTATACTTTAAAACCTAAAAGAACTTTAAAATAATTTAATTATGAAATTTTTAACATGTGAATTTTTTTTGGAGAAATACAATGCACTATAGAAAATAAAATTGCACTCTATTTATCGGCACGCGTAACTCATATTACAGATGCCGATTCCTATGAGAAAATGGTAGCTAGAATTTTAATCCATATGTCAATTAAATAATTTTTAACAAATTTTAATTCAAAAAAATGCAGGTACATCGCCTGACACTTTCCTTAAGGAAACGGTTCCATCCTGTAGAATTCTGGCCTTAATAACAATCAATTTTTAATATAAAATGGCAATAAGCATAAACGAAGTTTAAGGGTTACTTAGTCCCTTAGTGAAAATGCTTAGCCTTAGATGTGAGTGCGGAAGATACTGCTGTAGATTGTACAACTATTATTCTAAAGATGTACATTAATACCCGTAAAGGATTCATTAATGCAAGGCACGTAATTTGGGTCATAATTAACAAACTCAATTCTAATAGGTGTAAGTGCAATAAATCTTTGAACACCGTGTTGCATTTAAATTGCGGCCTTACGAATATATTATTATAGTAGTAGTTTAGTATTATAATAACCGATCTACGATTCGGGTAGGTATTAAATTCAATGTCCTTACCAAATAATGTTAAAATCATAATTTAAGATATGGACAAATTGCTATAATGCTAATCAAACATACTATAGTCAGTTATGTATTAAATTCTAATAAAATAAATCATTATTATGTACATAGTCAGGTGACGTGACGACGTGGGAAAAATTTAAGTCAGTAATGAATCTCGATAGTGTTATAATTCATGATTGTTGAAAAAAATAATCTTTTAAACTACATGATAGTTACAAATGCATTAGAGAAGAACATATTCGAAGTGTTCCTGTGTTCTCTATATTATTTGGGAAAGTTTAAACTTATATATGGATATTGTGTTTGTACGGTGTAATAGCTTCACATTTGGCTATGAAGAATTAATCCGGTCCAGTTTTGCCAGACATGAGGTGTGTCGCAGGCTTTTAGGGCAACGGAGTCCTAGAGTAAGGAGGCGCGCGTGCGCGGGAGGGCGCTAGTGTCGGCGGCGCGGCAGTCCCGTGTCTACCGGCGTGCGTGAGAGACGTGGTTATAGATTCCCGCGCATATAACCGCTAATCGGTCTCTGCAAAAAACACGACGCGCCCATGGCTGCAGCCGTTATCGAATAGCTGATAGTGTTATATTGTCTGTTTATGTGATGATCACAGAGTTAATGTTAAGTTTAAAGCACACGGCGTTAGTAAACAACCGGTCCAGATAGGGAGGCTGCGTTGCCTCGCGCCCGGTTACGGTGGAATGCAGCAATTTTAACTACTGCGGACCTCGAGGGATCCATTTCGAAATTGGGATTGAAATACAATTTCAGTGTTAAGGTAAGCAAGCCTTATTTAGAAGAACATGACGTTCGTTATAAATATTTAATGTGATTCTTGTCTTACTCCTTATATTTCGCTTATATCGCGCTAATAAAATGATGGTATTCGCGTTAAAAGAACCTTCATTATGTATTAAACAAATCCTAATGGGAAAGTTGGTTTAAGTAATAGTTTTTTTTATTAAATATTTATTTACTAATATGCAGGTACGCATAATATTAGTTAACAAATTGAAAACAATTGACTGTCTCAAGCATGTCTACATTATCAATGTGTATTTTGTACTATGTAAATATATTTTATATTTTATTTTAAATATATTTTATTTTTAAAAAGTGACCCAGATGTTACATGATACGCTCACGAAACTGAAGACTCCGATTCGAATCCCAGAAAACTCGTATTTTAAATAGTTACATAGATTAGTGGTTATATGTTATGCTTGTTCATGTTTTTAAATAATTTATGTACATAAATGAAATTTTCAAATTGATTCAGTTGTGCTTTACCTGCCTACTCCTTTTTACATAGTCGTGACGTATCGAGTGTATTTTTAATTTGAAATTCTTAAAATCTTACTTCTTACTAATATTATGGATGGATGTGTGGATGGATGGATAAATGTTTGTTTGAAGGTATCTACACAATGGCTGACGGATCTCGATAACATTTAGCATATGTACATATAGAACATATTTTGGAAGAACACATAGGCTTATAGTTAAGAAAGTTTTTTTTTTAATTCCTCGCTGACGGAGTCGTGGGCGATAACTAGTTATAAATAAACGTTAAAAATATTTCTTTAGGCGTTATAGGTTTAAAAATAGCTACGTATGTACATCGCATTGTAAGGTTTTATGTTACAAATTGCGTAACGGTATTTCCTCATTCAAGAGTTCATGTAATTGTGATATCAATTTACTAAGTTATAATAAGTTTTATTTATAGTTGCTGGTAATCATGTATGTTATTATAAATCATGTATAAAAAGCGCGGAAAATCGGTACACGTTTGAATACTTTTATTTCGTTACACGGATAATTTTCGTGCGTAAATGATTATTAATAATTTATATTCTTTTAGAATATTCTTTATTGATCTCAAGAACATATTTAAGTATACGTTTTGAATAAAAAATTACAATGACTTTTAATTCACTTGGTATTATTGAAGCGCTAATAGTGTAGTGACTAGGAGTGTGGATTACTGAATTTGCGATCGTGTATTTAACTATAATTTTTAAAATTTCAATTAAAATTTATTTCATTAAATGTCAGATAAAACCCATATTACGCTGAGCGCAGTCAAATTAACATTTCCAGAAGTCGTGACTCGATACAATTGCAGATAATTCGGTCAGTCGAGAATAACCAGTCACAATCCATAGCAGGTACGAGAGACAGATTAAGTAAGATTCATCACTTTCTTTTACAAACGACGACCAAGAACGAAGAGAATGGCTCCATTCAATACCGTTCTAAATTTCTCACGGCAACAATTATTTATGCGGTCCCGCGAAATAAAATCCGAAGAACGCATTGTTACGATATCTTTTTCTATTCGTTCTTTTTATGTGTGGCAAAGGTGCCGCCGTCATTCAGCCAGGTCGGCTCATTTAATTCCTGATTTTATTACAAAATTTTACATAACTAGGTATGGCATAACGAAATAAGATTTTAATATGAAATAGGATTATTTTGTAACAGATATTCACGCTTTTGTAATGGCTAAGTTAAACATATGTTAAGCTTAAATATACGTTTATCAATATGATTTGATTTGTTGAGAATAGGTTTGACATGAATTCTTTAAAATTTGACTGCTTGTAAAAATGCAGGGTTAGAGCCTTATCCGTAGATAGCCAAGGGTCTATGCTTGTGAGGCAGGACAGTGAACTTGTCTAAAAATGGTTGGTACAATCGGTATTCCAGTGTACCGGGAACAGCAAACAGAATACCGGTGCGCTACCGGTATTCCCATATTAAACTCCAATGGCACAAGCTATAGGTATATTTCAACTGACAATAGCATAATTTCTTTTCGGATTTGTATCTTTGTTTATTAGAGTGCTTGTAGCCTAAAGACCTTTACCAACATATTGAAGAATGTAGTGTTATTTGATTTGTATTCTTCCCCGGAGTGTCATAGCCTAATTGTTTTTTTTAATTAAATGTAAGTTAGCGTTTTGAACTAATTAACGTAAAATTGTTACAGGTGATATCAAAGCCTCCATCGCTCTCTTTCCCGGCTTTGGGTTTCGAACATTTGATTATATTTTCCTCGGTCCATTATGGGATTTGAATTAATTTTCTCCCGGTTGGTTTTAAGTATTATTAACTTTGTGGGTATTAAACTATCTAACTAATGAAAATTTTAAAAGCCTGAATAACAAAAATGTTAATAAACATATATTTAAATTGCTTATACATTTTACAGTACGGTTTAATTAGCAGGAATAAGACTTATTCCAAAAAGTTAAAAATATTTCCTTGTAGCAGAAATCTACTTAGCAACTGCTATAATTATAACGACATGAGTTGTGTGGGGAAATAAGCTAGATAAAAGTAAAGTATGAAACTGCCTCTATTGTACAAGACTTAAGAGGGTTGCTTTCATTCAACGTATAATTTACATTTTCTGCGTTACTCTAATTCTTGCTTCGTGGCTGTATGCCGATGTGGCCTTAACCTGTTTTTCGAGTGACGATTCTTCGCGTTCACGTGTATTCATTATTTACAACGAACGCTTTTATCGTTGCGGCCCAGGGATGCCAAATATAACCGTTTTACATTTAAACTTACGGGTACTGTATGAAAAATACCTATATTGAAAAATAAAGTTTTTAAAAAGACTTGAACACAGTTAACATATAGACACAAAACTTGTATAGACTTGAACAGTTTTTTGACCAACTACCAATGTGGTTTGTATGTGCATTTTACTTAAACTAAACATAGACATTATCTGAAGTCCAAAACCTCATTCGAGCAACAACTGCTGCTTTTGCGAGTTCTACGACATTTATAGTCGTAGTTTAAAAACATATCCAGGTCTTAATTGGTTTGACCCAATTGTACTGCAGTTTAAAATTAAATGCTTTCTGACAAACTTTAACTGCATCACATGTAGTTTAGCTAAAACAGTTTCAACTGCAATATAGCTAATTTTGGATGGGTCCCATCTAATTGATGTTGTTACTTCGTTGTCATTACAATATATTGGCTTAAGAAACTGCGAAATACAATTTAATTATTTTCTTAAAATCCTTAAACCCAAAACAACTTCTAAAAAAATTAAAGTGAAATATATTGTATTAAAAAAAAAAAATTGAGGATATCACAGCTTGTGATATAAACTTACAACGTGCGATGAATAAAAATTTAGTCGTTTTTTTAATAAAGGAAATATGTGAAATCATAACCTAGCTGATGACATTTGACACTGACATAAATATTTAAGTGCTGCCAACCAATAATTAAAAAGCGTTTGACATTTTGCATGCTGTCCAATCTATTTCTCTTGTAACCAAGAATTGTAACGTTAGAATTTCTCGATTTTTACGAGTGTTTGTCGTTCGAAAATTTTAAACATAGTTTCGCTGGTTCTCATGATGCCTCGCGGAAAGTTAACGAAGCGTGTCCGGGCGCTGGGAACTGGGAACTTCGCCCGTGTTGGATGAGAGCCGTTCGGAATGGAATAAAATTCATAGCACGTAATTGTGGCGTGCGTGCCCCCGCCGTATTGTAAACATGTCGAACAATGAGCATAATAATGCGCGCCGTGGCGCTTTATGCGTGTTTGGTAGCGACGGTTTCTCTTGTTTTCGACTTTACTAATTTTATATGGCTTTCGTTTTCAATTATTAAACTTGTGTGTTATGTTGGATGAATAATTAATGTAAAACTCTATAACCGCATTGCGGCAATGACATTAAAGTACCAATATGTATTAAAAATCACAGTTATAACGCGATAAAAACGGTATTATTAATTTCAATTATAACTTAAAACTTGTAACTTAAGTACGTTCCCTTCAGTTTTAACCGTGCTGTTAACTGAAGGTATGTAGCAACATAAAGTATTTACAGTGTCATGAATGCCTTATCAATTAAGGATATTTCTATTATTTTTTTAATTTATTTTTAATGGTATTCGTATTATATGAATGTCTTCCATTTAGGTATAATTAAAACGGTAATACACATAAATCTTTATTATACATTTTAGAAATCTAGGAAACCTCTTTTCTAAAATAAATCGAAGTCTAGTCCGCTTCATTAGGTCACGATAACCTAAGCGAAACGGATGTGTTCATTTATAAACTTCTATAACGAAAGTAACCTCAAATATGTTACAAGTTAAGATTTATCTAGAATTTATATTATACTTTTTAATAAAAAAACATACTAAAGAATTTTAAAGGCGAGGAATGAGGTTACTGCATTCTTAAATACTAAATATTTTATTAACTAAGATTGTGGTCTGCGACACTAAGTCAAAAGTTCACATTCTAAAACAGTGTTAGAATAGTTAACGGTATTATAATTCTATTCAATGATACCTATCTATTGTCGATTCAATTATTATTAAGTAGCTATCGTCCGTGACTTCGTCCGCACGTGATTAAGCAAAACGTAATTATTCGCCTATGTGTTTTTCCAAATTCTTTACATATGACGAATTTCGGCGAGGTCCACACAGCCGTTCTGGTGATACCTTCTAACAAACATCCATCTATTCAAACATTCGCATTTATAATAGTAGTAAAATAATAAATTAACATTATTAAATATCTAAAGCCTTTCTTTAGAGGTGTTCCGAGCTTCCCCTTCCTTTTATTTTTCTACTCGTTGTCTCCTCTATATTTCATTATTCTTTGTTTCTGTAAAATACTGGCAATTAGTTGACAGTTTTATTTTTATCGGATTAGTAATGAAATTAAAAGAAGAGTATGTTCCTGATAAAGAATTGAATTAAAAATGCTACTTTAATTCAAAT